TGGGCCTGGACATGTCAGTAAAAGAAGGTTCCCTTCCTCACTCTGACCCAATGTAAACGCTATATGCTCCGTAACCCAGAGTGCTCTGCTTACCTCTCTTTGGTTTTTACTCAACAGCCACCTCCGCAGATATATGATAAGCAGCTGGATGAAAGAGAACACACAATCGAAGAGTGGAAAGGTATTCTCATTTTTAAAGGACCTTTGCTCCGCCCCAGACCATGTTAGCCCCCGAGCCTCTGTTCTTTTGCCTGTTCCACAATATTGCCCTCCCTCCCTCCCTCGTCTGTCTGTCTGTCGCAAGCCCACACGTAAATGCAAGATCAGTCTTAGGGCTGAATTAGACAAGACACTGGGAACAAGTTGGGGACTGGATTTCCCGAACCTGACCCTGATCTTCGTACAGTCACACAGCAGCTGCTGGGAACAAAGTTGTTCAGGATGGACAAAAGGAAACCCTACTTTATGCAGAAAGTGATTAAAATGTGGAATTTGCTGCCAGAAGATATACTGATGGATTCAATAGATTCCAGGATGCAGCTTCAGGGGAAGGCCTTGGCCTCTGTGCCCTGTTGTTGGCCGTCCAGAGGAACTGGTTGGCCGCTCAGTGAGGCAGTATGCTGGACTAGATGGACTACTAGTCTGGGCTAGCCGGGCTCTTCTGATGTTTTTAAAGTTCCCAACTGTGCCTGGGCCCAATTCAGAGCCAGACTGAAGTGTGTGTGTGTGTGGGGGGGGAGCTTTGGCCTTCCCTCCTGCCCCCTTTCCCCAAACTGAAGTAATCTTGGGTAGGCATTGTCCGCCCTATTGGGGAGCTGCAAGTGAGCCACATCGCTAACAATTGGTAAATAGGATACATAAAGCTGGGATCTGAAACCATATCTTAACCATAGCTCCTGCCCCCTTTCCCCAAACTGAAGTAATCTTGGGTAGGCATTGTCCGCCCTATTGGGGAGCTGCAAGTGAGCCACATCGCTAACAATTGGTAAATAGGATACATAAAGCTGGGATCTGAAACCATATCTTAACCATAGCTTTGCATGATAGGTGAATGCAGGTATCTTGGCTTGATCCTGGTTTGTTCTTGGCAACACTGGCGAGGAGACCAACTAAAGGGATGGGGTGGGGGTGGGGGAATTGAAGACAATTAGAACAATATTTGTTGAGAAAACCGGAATTGTATGGAAGGAGGGAGAGGACGCAGACAGGTTCCAGCAGGCCTTTAAACCCTTGCCCCCCAACCTGACGCCAGCACGCTTCTATGCCCGCTTGGGAGAGACACACACCTCCCCGCTTACTGGGCTGCCAGCAAACCCTCAACCCCACGGTTGAGGGGTGGCTTGGGGCAGCATTCAAATGATCGTATGTTGCCTACATTTTAGTTTCACAAACTATGGTTGAAATAAACCCTGGCTCTGTGCTGTGTCTGATCTGGGCCCTCTGCTCTTTTAGACAGTCCATGTACCCACAGGTGATAATACAGTAGGGTTTCCACCTCTGGGTTGGGAAATTCCTGGAGATTTTGGAGGTGGAGCCTGGGGAGGGCGGGGTTTGGGGAGGGGAGGGTCCTCAGCAGGGTCTAAGGCCACAGAGTTCACCCTCCAAAGCTCCCATTTTCTCCAGGGGAACTGATCTCTGTAGACTGGAGATCTGTTGTAAAAGCAGGAGATCTCCAGGCCTCACCTGGAGGCTGGCAACATACACGGGTAGGTAGGCTAGCCACTTTTGTGAGCTTGTTTACAAAGCTGGTCTTGTATTCAGATCACCCATCCTTCTGTCATTTTAAAGGCCCTAGAGGACACTGACAAACTAGCAACTCTTATGTACATGGGTAACTGGTTCCCTTCTGTCTTGCAGAATTAATCTACAAGGAAGTAATGAATTCTGAAGAAAAGACTAAAAACGGCGTAGTAAAAGGACAGCCTTCTCCTTCAGGTACTCAGTCCCAGTGAATAGCCGACTTGTGTTCTCTCGGCAGGCTCCCCTCCGCAGAGGCAGCTGCTGTCAGCAGGGACGTTGGGTAGTTTTGCATCAACCCGGAGCTGCAAATTACTTAAAACAATTTAGGGCATCTAATGAGATGAGTCGTAGTCATTGGATTCCAGCTGAAAGCAAACATATAGGGCACTTCCACATATGCTGAATGATGGCCCTTCAATCCATCTGCGGGGCACTTCAGCAATCGTTTGCACGTGGATTTTCCCGTTTCACCCAGCAAAGTCCAGTTTCAACACCTGGGGGCTGGCAACCTACACGGGTAGGTAGGCTAGCCACTTTTGTGAGCTTGTTTACAAAGCTGGTCTTGTATCACCCATCCTTCTGTCTTTTTTAAGGCCCTAGAGGACACTGACAAACTAGCAACTCTTATGTACACGGGTAACTGGTTCCCTTCTGTCTTGCAGAATTAATCTACAAGGAAGTAATGAATTCTGAAGAAAAGACTAAAAACGGCGTAGTAAAAGGACAGCCTTCTCCTTCAGGTACTCAGTCCCAGTGAATAGCCGACTTGTGTTCTCTCGGCAGGCTCCCCTCCGCAGAGGCAGCTGCTGTCAGCAGGGACGTTGGGTAGTTTTGCATCAACCCGGAGCTGCAAATTACTTAAAACAATTTAGGGCATCTAATGAGATGAGTCGTAGTCATTGGATTCCAGCTGAAAGCAAACATATAGGGCACTTCCACATATGCTGAATGATGGCCCTTCAATCCATCTGCGGGGCACTTCAGCAATCGTTTGCACGTGGATTTTCCCGTTTCACCCAGCAAAGTCCAGTTTCAAAGTGCATTGGAAGTGGATTGGAAGTGCCTTATCCAGTGTGTGTGTGAAATAGGCTTGCCAAGTCCCCCCGGGGGGTGGGGAAAACCCCGCCCCAGAGGCTCGTTCCCTGCCGCCAGCGGATTGGGCCCCAGGGGGAACCCCACCCCGACGTGCGCATCACCAGGAAGTGATGTTAGGACACCAGGCACGCTGGGGGCGGGGCCACGACCATTGGAGGGAAAACTCTATGGTTTTCCCTCCGATGGTGGTGGCCCTGCCTCCAGCGTGCCCGGCATCCTAACATCACTTCCGGGTGATGTGCGTGCAGTGCGTGCGTGCTCCAGCCACTGCCCGGGAGTCCCCTGCTGCGGCGACTGAAATGACTTGGCAACCCTAGTGTGAAAGCACCCTGAACTGCTGTGAGAAAGTCCTGGTTGCCTTCAGGGCTTGGAATGAGTCTAGGTGTGAATGTCAGCATTGTGCATTTAATTCACTGCATCCTTAGAGAGAGCACTTTGGAGAGGTGTAGGCACCGTGCAGCCAATCCTGTAGCCACGATTAAATGAGCCGTGCAGCTGCATGTCTCCTTCCGGCTGGGCTCTTCCCTCCCGAGTGCAAATTTCACGCTGCTCTTCCCTTGGCGGCCCTAACCGTGGCCAGAGGTTGTGTTTTTGCAGTGGGCTATACCAGGCTCCCTGAGAAGCTTGCTCAGCTTGTCACGCACCACACCGGACGCAGCCCATCAGCCTTGCATTGTCTCCCCGTTTCTCTTCCTTTGTGAGAGAGCAGAAATGGTGCACGGCAGAGGCCACCACGTAGGCCAGTGTGCTGCACTCAGCTGGATGGGTTCTAGATCGTATGGCTCTTATTAACTCTTTTCAAGTGCCCACCTTTAACCAGAGTTCACTACCCAACTTTAAACACTGTTTAAGATGAAATCCTAATGGGAGTTACCTGTGGTTAAGCTGAAGCTGCTGACCATAGGGAGGGATTTGCTCTCGAGTGGGGAAGAAGAACATGATCTTCCAGTCCCTTTATTTATGCATCGTGTCTGAGCCACCCTTCTGAGCGTAAGAGGGGGGGCAAATATCAGTATGGTTCCAACACGGCCCTCCTCTACAGTGAAACTGCACTTTCCTTCTCATGCAGACTTTGAATCCCTGATTTGCAAAGGAGGGCCTTATTCAGTTCACTTTTAATAAGCAGGATCCACAGTGAGCTGAGTAGACTAGAAAACGCATGTTCAATCCCACAAAGGTTGCCATCTGCATCCTTTTTTGTGAGTCATTATCAGCCTTCCCTTCTGATGTATCAGCTGGTGGCAGGCGAATGGTGCCTCCCCCCCCCTTTTTGCACATGACTCAGTGGCAGATTTGTGGCTGTGATGGATGTAAAGCTCCCACCCCATTTCCAAAGGGTAGATGAGCCTATATTTGCACAGCCACGTTTCCTGTGGCAGTTGCGTATCCCCTATCCACAGCAGTTCAGAGTGGGCTTACCAGGTTGCCCGCCATGACAGACAATCTCCTTGCCCCCCCTCCACTACTCCTTGTTCCTATGGGAGCAAAGACGGGAGGTGGGAAGTGATGTCACACTGCTCGAATCCCCCAATCTGTGCAGTTTTAACCATAGAGATCAAGCAATTTCTAGAGCGTTGTGATATCACTTCTGGGTACAACGTTTCACAATGTTGCTTTCCAACCCACCATTTTTGTTCCTACTAGAGCAAAGAGGCCGGCTGGGAAGCCTAGCTCAGTGCGCCGCACTTTTTTCTGAGCCAGGGCATAGCCAGTGGCTATGGCATTGGCTGCACAACCAAGGACAAGCATTTGAGTGGTGTATGCGTGTGTGCAGATGCAGGAAGATAACAGAGAACTGCATCATCCTGGGCAACAAGTTCATTCCTAGTTGTAGCCGTACTAGACGTTCTTTTCTACTTCCTTTGAGTGGGTAGCATGAGTACATCCAGGGGTCATTTCCTGCAGGAGCGCACAGGAGCGGAGCTCCGGCAGTAAAGAGCCGAGGGGGCGGGCACATACAACAAGCCCCGCCCCTGCTCCCAGCAGCCCTCAGTCAGAGCAAGAAGCAACCAGGTAAGTTGCAGGGTCTCCCCCGGCCCCCCGGTCCAAAACAGTCCAGTGGCACCTTTAAGACCAAGTTTTATTCAGGTACAAGTTCCCCCCCCCTGCGAGGACAGATCTGCATGTCCCCCCCCCCAATAGCTAGCAATCCAAAACAGTCCAGTGGAGCCTGAGTGGTGGGTGTTGCCTTCTGACACGCTTCCGGGGATGTCAGGGGGTGTGGCACATGCAAATAAGTTATGCTAATAAGTTGTGCTAATGAGCTCCGGCACCTCTTTTTCTACAAAATGACCCCTGAGTACATCTAGTCCAAACATTGCTCAGTCCCAGTGCATGTGTTTGTGCTTACAGGCTGCATAATCAGTTCCTTTGAGTGGGTAGCATGAGTACATCTAGTCCAAACCTTGCCCAGTCCCAGTGCATGTGTTTGTGCTTATAGGCTGCATAATCGGATCAAGTTTTACTTTGCCCTAAAGTGTTGCTTTTTCCTGATTCCCACTTGCTTTCTTGTGCTTTGGGGTCAATGCAGGCAGTGGGCAGGATCCAGCCAGCTTTTTCACTCAGTCTCAGTCAATTCCTCTCTGTATTATGGCTTTTGCCCATGCAGGTCCTGTGGCCCCTAGCATAGCCTTTTTGCATCTAAGTAGCAGGGAAGAGTGACGGTATTTTGGAACTGTTACATAAAAGAAGTATTCAGACAACTCAGACATTTCCTGATAAGACAAATGAAAGTAAATAGGGGAGCATTTCCTACCAGCTTGGAATTCTAGCGTAGTCCAGTCTTTTTTAAATAGTCGATTCCATACAGTTAACAAGGATTTTCCCCCCCCAATGAGTCCCTAGAATTTAGGCTGTACCTTATGCCAAGAAGAAGAGAAGAGTTGGTTTTTATACCCCGCCCTTCACTACCAGAAGGAGTTTCGGATTGGCTTACGATCGCCTTCCCTTCCTCTCCCTACAACAGACACCCTGTGAGGTAGGCAGGGCTGAGAGATAACTCTGAGAGAACTGTGACTGGCCCAAGGTCACCCAGCAGACTTCATGTGGAGGAGGAGTGGGGACTTGGTGCCTCTAGCCAAGTTCCATGGCTCATCGTTTTCAGGGATGGAACCTTCAGGGATATGAGGCTCAGCTTTCTCAAAGGCTAAAGCCTCACCATGGAATTCCTTGCTCGGGGCGGTTCACCAGAATGCATATTTGCTTACTGTGTTTTGTTTTTCCACTTGTCCGGTTCACCAGAATGCATATTTGCTTACTTTGTTTTGTTTTTCCACAAAACGGAGGAGTCTCCAGTTGTTCTTTCTTTTTTTCTGGGTTTTTTTTTGGGGGGGGGTATTTTGTGTATATGCCTGGAAATCATGGTTAACTTCTGGTGACCCCCTGGGCTGCAGCCACACACACTAAATAATCTACTTTCAATCCAATTTCAGTGCACTTTCCAACTGGATTTTACTGTGTGAACCGGCAAAATCCAGTTGGAAACTGCATTGAAAGTTGATTGAAGGTGGATTATCTAGTGTGTGTGACCACTGCTCTAGTGTGGCTTGGACATTTCAGAGAGGTGGCTTGCTATTGCCTGCCTCTCCAGCCCAGGTTGCTATTGCCTGCCTCTCCAGCCCTTCCAAGTACTTGCCAGAGTCAGCCCTGCTTAGCTTCCAAGTTCTGACGAGATCAGGCTTGCCTAGACTATCTGGGCCAGGGGCTACAGTGTAAGGCTAAAGTTTGGAAGATCCAAGCTCAACCTCTCCCCACCCCGTCATGAAGCTCACTGGGTGTTCTTGGGCCTGCCCCTCTCTTTCAGCCCTGTCTACCTCACAGGGCTGTCGTGGGGATGAAGCGGATGAGGGGAAGAACCCTGTATGCTTCCCTGAATTTCTCGGACAAAAGACAGGTTACATACAGTGATAGGAAGATGTCCTTTGAAAGGTTTTTAAGGTTTGTGTTTTATTTTCTTTATTGATATGTTTTTGAGTGTTGGTTTGATGGGAACTTGAAAACTGGGCGATACTTTCTAAAGGAAATAAATAACGGTGGGATGTCCCAATGGGCGCGTTTACTTCTGCCCAGGGGTCATTTCGTAGAAAAAGAGCTAGGGGAACTCATTAGCATGACTCATTAGCATATGCCACACACCCTGACATCAGGGGCCCGGCGGTGGACCTGCAAGGCCGGCGGGAGTGCAAGGAAGCCCCGCCAAGGCCCTCCCTAGCCCCAGGCAGGCAGGGGTGGGGAGAGGCAGGGAGGAAGCAACGTACCCTCCCTCTTCTCCTGCCTCCTCCTGGCTGAATGAGGGCTGGAAGCGGGGCGGCCGGAAGCAGGGGGCGGGGCTTCGTCATGTGCCCCGCCCCCTCCACCTCACCCGGGGAAACTGCGATCCCCCGCGTTCCTCCCCCGAAATGACCTCTGCTTCTGCCCATTGTGGAGGTTGGGGGGCGGGGAAGACAGTGAGCTCAAAGCCCACTCTGCGTCTCCCTTCCTCTGCCCCACTGAATGCAATCGAGAGGTGAAGCATCTGAATGCTGCCGCTGCTTAGCAAGAACGAGATAAAAGAGACCTTGCAAGATGTGCCAAATTGGGGCGCGACGCGTTGGAGGATTTACCTGCTCTGCACACACCCAGACTTCAGTGGTGATAGAACGGCACTCCCAACAGGTTCTTTGCAGAGCAGAAAGTGAGCAGCGGAATGTGAAAATCTGATTCAAGAGCGTGCTTTGCCATTACCCGCAGCACGATCTTTCTTAATGATGTAGTGGATATGAGAATAAATCATTGCTCATAGTCAAATTCGTCATGCACGGCAGCATGAGTTTGGTGATTTATGTGTAAATGATAACACGCTTTGCTTGTATGGAGGAATTAATTTGTGAGGCTTCATTAAGGGCAGGCTTTCACCTAAAGCGGAGCATCCTCCTTATTCATCGATCCCCTTTGTTGCTCTCCCCACCCCGCCCCCCGAAGAGAATACATTTTATTTACTCAGTTCTTTGGAGCAAGGAGCATAGCCGTTTATTGCATATTCCACTCCTTACCTTTCAATTACATTTCCATTTTTTAGTTCTAGACAACTGGTTGCTTTTGTTGCTGCTGTGTTGTAAGGGCTGGAGGAGGGGGCAACCCAGGCTGGTTTTATGAAGCCATAATTTTCCCAGAATACCTTCTATCTCGGTGAAACATGTCATCAATCGAAAGCACAAGGGCAGGCAGTGTAACCAATTAAAAGCCGAAGGAGAAGGAAGGCAGAAAGAAGCGCCTGGCTCCGTTATAACAAGCCAGACAGAAATGGGCACAGGCTTCCGGTGGTTTCAAACCACTCTAGCCCCAGGCATTAGGTGAATATCTGTGCTGCCTGAAGGGCTCCAGAAGAGCTGCAGAATTCTACAGCGTTGAAAGTGCTGGGTTTGCTTTTGGGGGGTGGAATGAGGTGTATAAAGCTGTGTGTATAAAAGCTATTTATGGATTGAGCAGCCTGATCCCCCCCTCCTTCCCCCCCCCAATGGGCCCTCAGTTGCTCTCAACATTGGGTGCCTCTGGAACACACTCAGGCCACTTTCACACATGTTGGTGCCCTCTCAATGCACTTTAGCAGGTGTTCACACAGGAGAATCCACTTGCAAACGTCACTAAAGTACATTGAAGGTGCATTATCCAGCATGTTTGAAAGCAACATGCACTGAAAAGTGCACTTACAAGGCACTTCAGCAATCATCTGCGAGTGGATTTTGCCACTTCAAACAGTAGAATCCAGTTGCAAAGTGGATTGGAAGTGCATTATTCAGCTTGTGTGAAAGTGCCCCATTCGCAAGGCCCTTATTAAAAAAAGTTTTCCTTTCTCTTTTGATTCATTTGCAAAGTCATATTTTTCAGCATCCCTGGGAAGCCCCTCTAAAGAAACCCTCCCTGCTCCCTGGTTTGGTGTAGTGGTTAAGTGCGCAGATTCTAATCTGGGAGAACCAGGTTTGATTCCCCACTCCTCTACTTGCAGCTGCTGGATGACCTTGGGCAAGCCATAGTACTGCCAGAGCTGTTCTCTCAAGAGCAGCTCTCTCAGAGCTCTCTCAGCCCCACCTACCTCACAGGGTGTCTGTTGTGGGGAGGGGAAGGGAAAGGGATTGTAAGCCATTCTGAGACTCTGAGTGAAGGGCGGGGTATAAATCCAATGTCTTCTTCTTCTTCAGCGTTTGTGACCTCATTGCACTGTGCTCATGTCTGGCACATTTTACTACTATAGTGATTAAGAACAGCTAACACTGGAGCTGCTGGGTGAGGGAGGGGCAGGCAATCTCCCCGTTTTTCGCTGACCCGACCTCCGGCTTTCAGGTTGAATCACGTCGGTGTTCATTTTCTTAGCACAGGTGCAGCAGTGAACAGCAGCGACAGCCTCCCTCCGTCCTCATCTGTCAATGACATTTCCTCCATGTCCACAGACCAGACCCTGGCATCGGACACTGACAGCAGTTTGGAAGCTTCTGCAGGACCCCTCGGTTGTTGCAGGTGACTAGCCGCCTGCCTGCGAAACCCGACGTTCTTCAGAAGATGATGTAATTTAGGGGAGGGGGAAAAAAAGAGAGAATCATTGTGATTATAAAAGAATTTAATGATGGCAAGGAAGAGAAATTAAAAAAAAAAGAAATCTATCAAAGATTAAACAAAACCCTTTCAGCCTGCTTCTCCTAAACGAGTTATGTAATGCACCTAAGCTCAAGTGAATATTTAACTTATAGTTGCTCTGCTTTTTGGTCTTCTTCCAATGATGCTTAGTGCAAAAAAACAAACAAAAAAAGCAATCAAAAGAAGCCTTTTTTCATAAAATTGCAAAATCAATGGCTGCAAAACCAGCAATCTGCAACTGTCCTTTTTCACGCGGGCATGACAAGGTGGGCAGTTACCGACCCTTGATGTGATTACATGTGTGCCTATCTAACCTCTCTCTGTTTCCGCCTGGGCAGGTCAGCAGAGAAATGCACATGTAGCTTGGTGTACATACACACAGTTATGCACTTGCAAGTATACACAGCTCTGTGTGTACATCTAACTAGAGAACAGGAGGATTTATGTGTACACACAGCTTGCCGCAGAGAACCTAACCTCCCCCTTTTTATATGTAAATTCCATCTGTAATATAATTCTCATTGTACAGTCTGCTGTAGTTGTTTCAGTGATTAATTTAAATTAGCTTCGGACATATAGAAACAAGGTCAAATGGAAAAATTCACACCGAACTTTGACGTAGAGTTCCCACGTTTCGTATTCTGCTTATTTATCTTTTTAACTCCAGTTTGTTTGGAACAGTCAAAGAGGCTGGTGGGTCAACCAGAAGATTCTTGATATTGATGCTTTAGGATTTGATACTTCTGGGGTTTTTTTTTAGAATGGATATATATATCTATAGATATATAGATATATACATATGTTGACATGGAAGAATACTTTGCTGCGGAAGATGCTCAGGATCAGCACTGGAGAGAAACCGGGGCGAATTTCCAAGGATCCTCTTGATAGGAAACCAGATGGTTGAGAAAGGAAACTTGAAAGAAATGAAATCATGGGAATTTAGTAGAGCTTGGGTGTTAACGAAACTAGTTATGGGTGGGCACCGAGGGTAGCTAGGACGAGGTTGCCAAGGCCCTTTGATAATCTGGCAGTGCAATCCTATACAGAACTACTCCAATCTAAAACCATGGAAATCAGTGCACAGGATGGCGCTGTCAGTGTAGGAATGGATAGGCATCTTGCAGAGATCCTTGTTGAGGACAGGCAAGATGTGTTAAGCGTGAATGGAAGATCCATGGTGGATGAAAGCACCTTTAAAGCTTCTTTCTTTCTCACAGAGCACAGGGGCAGGAGAGAACTGCCAGGGCCCAAGGGTCAGGGCACAGAGGAACTCTGGGCATTTCTGAACATATGGAGCCATGGCATGTCTCTAGCTCCTCCTCTGCATTGTCCGTTCTGACTGACAGCAGCATTCTTGGGTCCCGACATCTTCCGCCTGAGATCCTTTAGCTAGAAGTGCTGGAAACGGAACCTCTGTGCAAGGCTCTTCCACAGAGCCAAACTGCAGGGAGGTAAACAGCTCCCACAACAGGCATCCTGTGCCCTGCCCCATCCTCTCTCTTAAGCATCCTGGCCAGGATGATTGGCATTCTGAACCCACCAATCAGAAGCTCGTAACTGGAGCAGCGGGAACACACTTCGAGCGAGGGGTTTTTCTTTGTTGGCGGATGAGATTTCTCACTTTAGCCGTGTTTCTGTGGCTGTAGAGCAGACCTCTTGCAGCAATAAGGAGAAAGGTTAAGAGCAGAAGGTCAGTCGGTGGCTTGTGATGTATGTTTACTTCATGCACAGTTGTGAGGTGCGGGTGAGAGGAAGAATGACTGGACAATCATCAATCTAGGTGCTCAAGGCTGGGAGTGACTTTTTTAAAAATGGGTTGAAATAAATTCCCTCGTGGGGCACTGTTACTCAGAGAGCGGCGAATGCTTAGGAGCTGTCTGCTTGCTTCACCACTGCCTCTTTATCTGAAATAAATCAGTGGGACCCACAGCCTCCCTGACCATGTCCAAAGGGGTTGCACCTGCACAGAGCAAGCTGGAGACCAGCTATTCCAGCAGGTGCCTGTGGGCCACTGATGTTTTCAAAAGCCCAAACGACAAGGTAATAATGTTGTTTCTTCTTGACAGACTAGTATGGAATAAATCCACTAGCCCCATATTTGATATCCATTGGCGCCAGTTCCATTTGGTCATGCCATGCAAGGTAATCCTGCAGGCCTGCTGAGCCCTGTGATAGAAAGCAGCGAGAGTAATCCTGAATTTCTGAATTAAAACCACTGCCTGTGGTGCTCTTCTTTTCCCTTGCACCTTGCTGGCTGTCAACTGGGCAATGCACACTGCAGCACCTCTGGCCATCAATGGAATCCTTCCACACCTGATGTGGAGGTAGCCAGGAGCTCTGCTACTGTCCTGTCACAAATGAATTGGCGAGTGGCTATGAAGGTGCCTTCCCACGGAGGCACACATGGATTGCAACTCAATTTTTTTTAAGAGCATCGGTGCCTTCCCACGGAGGCACACATGGATCGCAAACCAAAATTTTTAGAACACCTGAACTTTCATGTAGTCCCCCCACAGTCAAAATGGTCCAGGAGACCAGGAGGAGGGAAGGTCAATTATCGCCTTCAGACAACAGGAAGGAACAACCGTTCACATCTATATTTGGTCACGTGACTAAACCTCACCAAGAGTACCAGTGCTCATTAACTTTCCCTTGAAACCTGTGATTTCTGATAGGACTGGGGAAAGCGATTCTAAACCAGTTTGTTTTTAAAATGCAACTGCTAGTCATTTTTCCATCCTGACAAATAAAGTATCTTTGCCACAGCCTAAGACCTGCAGAAGGCAAATGAAATCACAATGGCCTGGAAGCATAAGTAATCCTGTGCTGAAATGTGGCAATTCCTAAATCAGAATGCTCCCGGAGAGAAATACCCTCCTCTCCCCATGGAGTAATTTCTTCCGGACAGTTTTATTTTCAGTTATACTAAATACAGAGGTAGGTAGATAGATTCTTCTTTTAAGAGAGTGGGGGTTTTTTTTACAAAAAGGCAACTGTAGTCAGTGCGGTATGTATGACAGCAATAAGCAATAGGTTACTACTGCAAAAACGAATTTAGCAATATCGGGACAATCTACCAAGCGCTGCCGTCGTACCACAGTCGTGCTAACTCACAGCGCATTTGCGGGAACCATGCGCAACATCCATGGAAATGGATGTTACAGAGTGTCAGGGCTTGATAGATTGCCTCTGTATTCTCTCTCTCTAAAAGCCATGAAACAGCATTACCCGTGTGTGGCACTGTCACCTTAACTCAGCCTGGATTAAAAGCCAGTGCACAAGAATGGAACTATTTAAAGGGACGCCACAGTGCGTTGTTTGGAGGGGGGCATAAAGGCACCCTCAGCAAAGTGGTGATCTAAGCAATAATGGCATTTGCTAACTCTGTGGTTTTTCCCCCTGCCCACCATTACGGGCAATTAAAAGGCAATTTAATCCGTCCGCAGTTCTGGTGCTGACGGATAAGAGGGAGCCTCTCAGAACTGCAGATCATTAGTGAAGATGTACTTGTTCATTAGTACCAGAAGCCTCAGAATACACACAGGAACGAAGCCTCCAGGTTTGCAGAGGGCAGCAAATCACTCAGGGCGGTGAGATCCGTTCCCAAGCAGCCTTGGAAGACCAGGTGACGGGCAGTAGAGAGCAGCAGGCACGGTTCCAACGTAAGTGCAGAGGGAAAGACAACAGCAGCCTCCAACTGCACCCTTCTGCTGATGGGGGTGTGCAATGGCTGTAACCACTCAGGAAAGCTGACAAGGTTGCAGTTGGGAAGAGTGTCGGGGGGGGGGAGGGGAGAATAGCTCACAGTGAAAACAATGCTCCCTCTAAATTGTGGAGCCTTGTGAGCAAAAAATCTACTTTGTGAGCTACTGGCATGAAAAAAAGTTGTGAGTGAGCGATTTGTCTACTGCATACATTAGTTCACTCTGGAGCCATCCTTCCTGAGCTAAGACAAAAATTGTGTGAACTGGAGGCTAAAAAAACTGTGAGCTAGCTCGCACTAACTCAGCTGAGAGGGAGCACTGGTCTGAGAAGGGAGTTTCAGAGGGAAGCCATGTTGGTTTTCAGTAGAAGAGCTAGACTTGAGTCCAGTAGCAACTTGGAGACCAACAGGATCATCAAGGTATAAGTTTTCAAGGCCCTGACCTGGAGAGCCCAGGCTAATCCGATCTCGTACTCTGGCTAGTATTTGGATGGGAGACCTCCAAGGAATACCAGGGGTGTGACACAGGGGCAGGTGGTGGCAAGCCACCTCTGAACATCTCTTGCCTTGAAAACCCTTTGGGGTCGCCATAAGTCAGCTGTAACTGGAGGGTGCTTTTCACCAAGGTTTCAAAAGAGTCAATGCTCCTTTCATCAGTGAAAAGGGAAAAATGCAGTGTCAGGGATCGGGCTGCAAAGGAAGCAACAAAGCCATCACATCAGTCAGCCTGCAATTAGGGAACAGTCATAAGCAGGCCTGCTCAGGAGAGAAGCCCGGTGGTATTCAGTGGAGCTTATTCCCAGTTACATGTTCTTAGAACGTATACTTCTGTGCATTGTTGTGGACAACTCATCTGAAGGAGGCTAGTGCAGAAAAGAGCAAGATGATCTAAGATGATACAAAGGGGATTGGAATGTTTACGAAGAAATGTTTAAAAATGTACTGGGGGTGAAAAGGCAGCTATGACAGGAACCACAATAGTGGTGCATAAAACTGTTCCCAGTTTGGAGGATAATGAAACAAGTCAAAGCACCAGATCTCCAATGAAGCTGATTGGTTGGGATTCCAGACAAAAAATGTGTGTAGTCATCATGAAGATGGATCTCGTTGCCACAGGACAGACACAGGTCTGCTCTATGCATATTTACTTGGAAGTAAATCCAAATGAATTCAATAAGTCC